AAAAAAAAAAAAAAGAAAAATCCCCAAGATAGCAAAGCTTTTCTTAAAAAGGAAACGAACGACGCAAAATTTGAGGATTTTCACTTGTAGTTAATGTGTGGCATTTGCTATGTTTAACATGTCCACCAGCTCATCAATTAGAACTTAAACTTGTGTTTGAAATAACTGACAGCGGCCACTCTTAATTCAAGCTTCACGGTTCAGGCTTAAGTGGAGACTTAGCAAAAGTAGATGTTCAAACTATGGAAACAACAGATGCATTGAAAGGTCCTTTGTCTTGCCTGAGGGATTTAACCAGCCACCTACGGTTAGGTGTGTAACACCTAGGGCTCGCTCTGGAGGAATTCTTCACAGGTGGACTCCACATAATTGGTTCTGTAACTTAAGCCTATTAATTGCCTTCTTTGTTGTAGTGTTTATTAAAAGGGTGAGTGTAAACCTGGGAGGAATCTCAGTACATCAGCCACTGATTACGCCTTCTCTGACTCCGTGCTGTTATCTGCAACTTGGCTAGAATGCATGCTTTTCCACCATGTGGCGGACCCAGTGCTTGGAGGTAGTGGCCTTAGCTGACTCCAAACCCAACAAGTGTGTTGCAAGGGCTAAAAAAAGCAAACGCTGGTGTAGCCTGCATTAATAGAAATATAATGACTACATCATGGACTGTAAAAGTCTCACTTGGCAATGATTAGAACATAATCTAGACAGTTTGAGAGAGACCATGAAAAACTAGAAAATAGGAAAAAATCACAACACAAGCTCTCTCTGCCATACCCTGATGTCTATTATAGGTTTAAAAAAAACAAAACAAAACACAATACCTGGAGATGTGTAGATGGAAGGGAGAGAAACAAGCTTTTTTCTACTCAATGTTGAATATACAAGTTATGAGTCAAAAAGAGGGTAGAATTGTTCTTTGGTGCTTTGCATAAGACAATGAGATCAATGGAGGATATTTTGCTCAATATAATTTATCCTTCCAATAAATATTTATCAGGTATCAACCATATGTAAATTAACAGCTAAGTGTGAGATGTGTTGTCTGGAAAAATCATGCTGTCACACAAATATTGTAACAGAGATAGGACAACTATAGTTGTCAGAGATACTATAGAGAGAATTCCTGCCCTGGGTAGGAAAATGGACAGGATGTTTTCTGGAATCTTTTCCAGCTCTTAAGAGACATGAGTTGATGAACCTCAAGAATTCCAAGGATATTTGCAGAAGGGCTAAGGAGTTGCCTTTGGCAGCATTGAGTGTAACTTAAAATACAGTTAAGCAGAAGAAATAAGACCTAGAGTTCAATAAATCAGTAATCTATAGTAAATAATAACCTATTGTATATTTCAAAAGAGAATAATTTGAATGTTATTCCTATTATCCTGATTTTGGAAGGGGGTCTCTGAAAAGCAAAAAGCAGCCCCTATTATTCAGAGGGGATCTCTGAAAAGCAGAGAGCAGACCTGAAGGAATCAGTTAGAAATGAACAAAGCATAGTGCCAGAGAAGATTAACATAGGAATGAATTTATCTAAAGGCAGACAGAACCACAGGGCAGAGGGCTCCCATGTTGACTGGAAAAGTTACTGGACAAAGAGGATCCAGCCGCCTGTTACTTTCAGCCAATATGCAGAAATGGAGATAGGTCCACTAAACCTTATTTGTCTGAAGGTTGGGATTCTGGAGAACAGTGAGACGAGCCTCCCCAAGACTGTTCTGTTCTTTCATTTCCAAAATTGCAGTTTTATACATTGAAAGTTCAAGCCA